ATTGATATCCGAAGACCATCTGATGACCCCTTATCAATTAGATTTAGATGGGATAAACCTTTGAAGGATTGGCAAAAATAGTTGAATTTTTGGGATGATTTGTGCTTTGTGGCCTCATCCATATCCATAAGGTAAAGTTTCATAGAGTGTAGTCCTGTCTTTTGGTTCTTTCGCATGACGGATTGGGAATCCATAACTCTGATTTCTATAGACTGGATAAAAAATTTTTTCCTTTTTGATTGGACGAAAAATTCGTCTGTATATATACCATATAATTAATATTATTACGAAGGTAAAAATAACAAACTTGAATATAGGCAGGATTATATACTGATCATTAACTAAAGTATTGCTACCTCCTAACGCAATAACAGGTACGGCTGGAATACTATCATAATCTCCTTTTTCATCAGGTTCGCGCTCTGAGTAGTGTGAAGAAAAATGAGGTATCTCTTCTACTACTTCATCATGCTTATAATCATTGGATGATGAGGCTGAGTTCGCTTCTGCACTACCTATTTTTGAATCATGAATTGTCTGATGCGGTTGCGAAACAATCTGATCTAGTTCATCTTCCAGATTACTTACCCTGGATCTGAGACAGAAAATTAACCCATCCTTAAATGATGAATTTTACGTAACTTTCTCCAGTTCATTTTCCAATTCCTTTGCTTTAATCTCAAGAGAGGAATTGCTACACAACTGGTTAGTATTGGAATCTTTTAATAAAACTTTTTGCGTAGCTTATTCCAACTCAGCCTCCAGTTTATTTATTTTAATTCCAAGAGAGATGATATCAGAATCCTTCAAAGATGAAGCTTTTTGCATTGAAGATATTATGCTTTCCAGTGATTTAACCGTAAACTTTAGCGATTCTATTTCTTTTAACTGCTTAGCATTAAGATCGGCATGAGACTTTCGTTTGCAAGTAATTTGGGAGACAAGCTTATTATTCAAACTATTTAGTTGATTAGCTAGGGGGTAATTTGATTCATAGAATTATGCATACGCTCATTTTCCTCATGCGAGTGATCTAGATCATTTTGCATACACTTATTTTTTTCATCTAAGACATGATATTTAGTTAAAAGCTGTTTGGCAGA